GTCCTACAGTTTGAGGAATATGTGGTGGTGAGTGGAGTTGGTTTGATGGTGGGCACAGCCTCCTCTGCCTCTCCACTTCTTCAATGAAGGAAATGATGAGATGGAAATTGATTTGGTAGAGGGTTTGGAAAAGAACAGAACCTCAGGATGTAATTTTATTCATCTGTAGACCTGCTTTATTGAAGATCTGTCTTGACCATATATCAAAGACTAAGATTGTCTACATCAGAGACAGGTTTGTCTTTTTGGTAGTGGACAAGAAAAGACCCTCGCCTGGCTCATATCGTCAAGGGTTGATGGCTCACTACCCTTTGGAGAACTGTAGGAGGCTGGAGAAAGCTCAAGGCTCTGTATCTGAGGGACCTTCTTGGTAATTGTGAAGTGACTTCTCACTGAGATTCTTCCATTTCATATTTGTCCCAGTGGTGTCTGTGGGATATCTCCTGGATCCTCTGCATCCTTGAATTTCTGCTTTGCCCTACACCAGACTGCACAGGTTGGGATTGGTTCTGCAGTTTATCAGCAGTTTGATTTGGAGCAAGTCATTTAAAGTCTCTGCACAGTGGGGGTATTACACTCTCCAAATCAATGGGGAACTCTAAGATTAAATTAAGGATTGGCACACTGTGATCCAAGGTCCAGAGACTCCCCTCTCTCCAGCCTGTTCTTGCAAATTTTCATTGGGACATAGTGATGCCACTTGTTAACATATTGTCTTTGGGCTGCTTTTGAGCTATATGGCCAAGTTGAGTGGTTGTGGCAGACACCTTTTGTTTTCACAAAGCATAAGATATTTTCTGAGAAAGCTGGTTGACTCTTGAATAAGAAAGTTAAAACATGTAAGTTCAACTCACTAATGTTTATTGGCTACTAGGTTGAGATATAAAGAATGAAGAAACAACAGACAAAATCCCTGTCTTTATAAGCTTACAGTCCAAAGGGGAAGGGACAGTAAACAAAAAGCAAAACAAAATGTGAGACAGTTCTGGTTATCCAGTGGTATGGAGGAGAAAAGGTAGAAAAGGGAGGGAAAGTGGGGTGTGTGTTTGTGTGCGTGTGTGTGTGCATGTATGTGTACTTGTAGGAAGTGAATTGTAATTTTAATTGGGGTGATCAGATAATCCTAATTGAAATATCCCAAAAAAGGACATGGAGCCATGTGGGCACAGGAGAAGGAATGCTCCAGGCAGAAGGAGAACAAAAGCCTGAGGTGGGAGTGTGTCTGGAGTGTTCGAGGACCAGCAGGGAGCCTGGCGTGTTCCTGAAGCAGGGTGAGCAGTGGAGAAGTGCAGAAGATGTGGTCAGTGGGGTGGGACTTCCTCAACCATTGCAAGGACATTATATTGTGTTCTGCAAGGGAAGTAAGGACTGGAGGATTATGACCTAAATCTTGCTTTGGATTGATTTTTTTTTTTTTTTGATGGACTGGGATTTGAACTGAATCCTTCACCCTTGTAAAGCAGGTGCTCTACTGCTCGAGCCAAACCTCCAGTTCATTTTGCCCTGGTTATTTTGGAGATGGGGTCTGGGAATCTAAGCAGGGGTACCCAGCTTAGATTGCATTTTAAAAACACCAATCTAAGGAGGTTCATGCAGGAGCTGGGAATTTGATAGTGACCACTGCAGCGCTCATAGCGGCTTGGACTGAGGTTGTAGCTGTGCAGGTGGTGAAAAGCAGCCAGTTTCTGCACAGTGCTAAAATAAAGCTACAAGATTTCCTGGCAGATGAAGAGTGCACGGAGAAAGAAAGAAAGAAGTCAGGGATGAGTTTGAGGCTTTGACTTGGTCAACTGCAGTAGTGAGATTACTGTGAACTGAAATGTGGAAGCAGCTTTTGTGGCAGGGGTTAGGAATTCAGACTTGAGCATTTAATTTTGAAGCACCTGTTAGACAGCTAGATGGGAATGTAAATGCCTAGAACCATGCCTGCTGTGTAGTGAAATGTTTGTGTTGTTATTACCATAATTGATGCTATTATGGAGGACTCATTTGGTACATAGTTTTGACTTCCTATCTTTGTGTCAGCACTAGAGAAGCAACAATGTGTTCCTGCCTGTCTTCCTGTGGAGATAGATGCACACCTGGAGGTTATGTGTGAGAGCCCTGCTCTGGGGCGGTGAGGCTTTAGGAGAATCACACAGACTTACCTGGTCTGGACCACGATTTCTTTGAGTTTAGTCATGGGTTTTTATTAGCATATATTAGTTGTATGAAGGGGTTTCATTGTGATACTTCCCTTTCATACATTGCAGTGTACCTTGATCAAATTCACCCCCTTTATCCCTCCTACTCACTCCCCTTAAAAAATTTCAACAAGTATTGTAGTTCTGTTTTCATACAGGGGTAAAATGTACTTATAGCAGCACTATTCACAATAGCCAAAATATGCAATCAGCCTAGGTGTCCAAAAATCGATGAGTGGATAAAGAAAATATACACAATGGAGTATTATTCAGGCATGAAGAAGAATGAAATGATGTCATTTGCAGAAAAATGAATGGAATTAAAGATGATTATGTAAAGTGAAAAAAGCAGACTGAGAAAGATGAATACTGCATGTTCTCTCTTGTGTAGAATGTAGTTTTATGAAATGAATAACAGCAATGTATAATGGTCCTATTTAATGGTAGGTACCAATGAGAGGGAGAGGGCAACAAGAGATGGTGAAGGGGGGTGGTGAATATGGTGAAGTCAGTTATTTATAGCTTACTATATTTCTTTATATTCTTGTCCTTACGTATAAAAGAGTGACATTCACTTTATTTAGATTGTGCGCCTCAGGAATCCATACACCTTAGCTCTCAGTATAAAAGATGCTATAAAATCTCTCATTTGCTTCACAAATATTTGTTGAGCATTTTCCACGTTCCAGAGGTTCAATGGCATTGAAGCCAGAGTGAACAAGACAAGACAAAGAGCTTGCCTTCCAGGAGATCCTAGCGGGGCTGGGTAAGGAACAGATGGCAAAGAAATGAAATGGTAAGAATTACGTACACGGTTAAAACATGTAGGTTCTAGAGCAGTGCTGTCCAACAGAAATGCAATAGGAGGGCACACAGGTGAGCCACGCGCGCAGTCTTAAATTCCATGTTAAAAAGTAAAACAAAATAGGTGAAATTAACTTTAATATCATACTTTACTTAATTCTAGTATAGCCAAAATACTTTCATTTGAACCAATAATGGTCATAAAAATTATTAATAAAACTCTTTGCACTCTTCTCTCTACTAAGTCTTCAGAAAAAATTCCATGAGTATTTTACCCTTAATGGCACAATTCCTTTTGGTGGAGATCCATGTCAGGTGCTTGAATGCTCCCTGTGCCCAATCGCTGCTATATTGGGCAGCACAGGTCTCAAGTGACTCAGTGTCTGCTTAGATTGAGAGGTGAAGGAAAGCTGAGTCCTTATGACAAGAAGGACCTGGCCATGCAAAGATTTGGAGGCAGCCTCTGGGTAGAGAGAGGCTACAAGGTAGTAAGAGCTTAGGGCAAGAGTGAGCTTCCTAAGATAACTGAGAACACTGGGTAGGGCACTGGGGCTATAACCTGGAGGACAAAGAGGATGGAAGTGTGACATCAGAGAGTTCACAAGGCCAGATCCTGCAGGAAGTTTAAAAATTCCATGGTAGAAAGTGTGGAAGAATTTTAAAAGTGCTGAGAACCAGTGGAAGGCAGTAAGGAGAGAGGAAGATGGTGAACCTCCCACTCTGCTGTGCAATGTTAAGGGGTGAGGATGGAAGCAGAAAGTCGTTAGAGATGCACCAAGTTCTGCTTCGGAAGGCCAAAGACAGCTTGCCTTGAATAGGACTTATCCAGGCAAAGCTGGGTTGAGTTGTAACAGACAGAGGGTGAGACTGTCTTCAACCTTTTGGTTACACAATTCATCCAATTAAACAAAGCAACTCCTAATATCATTATTTTACTCATTACACATGCATTTTATTATCAATGCACGTATCACAGCATTGTATGGTACTGAAACTTGTTTTTTATTTGTTTTTGTTATTGTTGTACTGGGGGTAAGCTGTGACATTTACAGAAGTTCTTATAATATATCATAGTTAAATTTACCCCTCCATCATTCTCCTTTATTCCCTCACCCCCATTCCTGGAATAGTTTCAACAGGTCTCATTTTTCCATTTTCATACATGAATACATAATATTTGCACCATATTCACCCTCCTCCACCCTTTCTTTATATCCTTCCCCTCACACGGGTATCAACCCCCAGATAGGACCTGTTTTACCTTCCTGTTCTCCGTTTTGGAAAAAGACATTTTTGTTTGTATAAGACAGCTATACAGGGAGTTTCACTGTGACATTTCCATCTTGTTTCTTATTTGTGCCAGATATACTTATATGCATGCATGCACATGTGCACACAAAGTTTTTTATGTGTGTATGAACACATAAAAGTTTTAATATTTTTTCTTCATTTCACTGCAGTCTATTTTGGGAATGTTTCTTGTAGGCAGGCAGGATTGCCCAGGCAAAGGCCTGCAAATAGGGTGAAGCACGATGCACATGGGAGGTGGAGTAGATCGACACCTCTAGAGGGAAGGGTGTGAACAGGGAGGGGGTGTGGGGAGTGTGACGGAGTGTTCAGAGCTGCTTCTGAAGAGCTCTGCTGGGGCCACATCACAAGATCCTGTGGACCATGGGGAGGATTTCAATATATTTCTACATGTGACCTGAGGTGAATGAGGAGTTTGAGGCAAGAGAGATGTCTAGCATTTTGGTAAGTACTTCACACTCATTTTTGTAGTGGGCCTTAACATGTACAGTGCAAGAGTGAATGAAAGACTTTAAGCAAGATGGTGACACAAGCATTTATTATGGAACAGATAACTCTCTTTTCTTTCCTCTCTACTTTCTTCAATTAAATTCTGTAAGTTGAAAACTCATGCTGATGAAGGCCAAGCTTTAATCACAGAGAGAAATGTCCTTCCAGAACAGACTGCTTGCTACCTCACCCTTGACCCTACCTCCTCCTTTCCAGAAGACAGATGCTGCCTAGGGCCCATCCACTAAGCACTGTACAGTTATACCAAGATCTGAAAACATCCACGGGAAGCTTTCAGACAATAGCATGGGTACTTTTACAGGTACTGATTTGCATTTTCTTTTGTTTGCATTCATTATTTGTTCACATGAAAATTCTTTGGAAAAGATGCTGCTATGATAAACAATGGTATTCATTTCTCTTTACTGTAACTTCTTTTTCTTCTTCATTGATAAGACAAGGCTGTCAGGGTCGGAACTGTTTTTCTGTTTACAAATGCTCAGTAATGAAGTTGTACTTCATACTTGATCCTAAGTATATGTAGGTCAAATAACATGATATATTTTTAAAAGAGCCAGTTTTAAACTTTGCACATGTACAATTTTTAGCTTCTTATTAGATTTAAGGGAGAACAAAACATTTGTTGTTACATTTCTGGGCTTGGTTACGGGGAAGTGTTTTGTTTCTAATCTCTTCAAAACACAGCCAGAGGTGTGTGCTCTGAATGTTGTGCTATTATTATGACTAACCAGAGAAACTGACCATGTCTTCGAAACATTGAGGGAAATTTCTTGGGGGCTTTCAAGGTGGGCTTGACACAAGATCTCATGGCCTGGTTTGAGAGCAACAATCTCTACTCCTAATCACCCAGTCAGCCATTCCTCCCATTTTGCTTTGCTTGAGTTTTCTTACATCGCCCTGGGTCCGGAAGGACCGGGAAGGCTCACCAGTCCTGAATTACTGTCCATGCTCTGCCTTTGGGAACACATGTCATCTCCAAATGCATCCACTTGACGTCACTTTTAGGCTTCTCGAGTTGAAAAGGCCTCCAGTTAAGATGAGAATAAGCCAGTGTGCTCAGAGAGGCTGGCTTGATGGACACCTCTGTCCACTGGGCTTAGCAAGACAGGACAGAGTAGCATCTGTGTCTGAGAATGATCAAATCTGTCAGACTTCAGTAACGACATTTACCAGACTAATAACTACCATTTATAGAGCATCTCTGTGTGTTTAACGTTGAACTAAACATTTTCATGTGTGTTTTCATTAAGCCTTACCAAGACCTTCTTAGCTGGCTAGCTTCTCTTTAGACAGTGAGAGTTCTTCAGTTCACATACTTCCTGGTGACAATGTTAAGTTAACTATCTCCTAGCTCTGGGACTTTGGCCAAATGACCTAACTCCTGGAAACTCATGTTTATTCATCTTTAAAATGGGGATAACACTACCTAGAACTTCTCTGTTAACTAGGATAGAATAGTGCCCAGCACATGGTGGGTATTCAGTGAAGGTGTTGAAATTGCTTGGGTAATGAGAACAGTGAGGTGTAGGAAAGTGGGATGACTTGTTTAACTGGCTCATGTTCAACAGTATTTCCTCTGGCCATACCAACAGGTGCAGGCAAAGAAACGCCAGTAGAAAAGTTGAGAGACATCTGACAATTTAAAAAATGTTTCTTCAATGAGCTCATGGGTTAACCATTGCTCCTGGAGAATTCAGCAGCTATTGGCTTGGTGTTGAACAACTCTGGGTAAAGCTTCAGAGCTGGCAGAAAAGTCCAACCTAAACTGAGCAAAATGAAGGTGTTGGCTCATGAGAGTCAAAATGTCAGAGGTCATCTGACTGGAGGAGTGGCCTGGGGCTGGAGGTCAATTATAGGGACAGGATGTGATTCCCTCTTGGCTTTGTTTTCCTTCTCAGATGGGCTCTTCTTAAGGTTGCAAAATAATGGCAACAGGCCCAAGACTCAACTCCTTCCAAATTCTTGTGCAATGGCAGAGAGAGAGAGAGAGAGAGAGAGAGAGAGAGAGAGAGAGACATTCTAAGCCTGGGTCTGACTAGCCGGAATTAGGTCATTTATCCACTATTTATTGAACTCATGTGGCTTAGATAATAAGGTAGAAACAACGGGCGAGGACAGTCAGGTTACTCTGTTGGCTCTGTGTCTGGAGCTGCCGTACCCAATAGCTTTGCAAGGGAATTTTAGAGTCCTGCTTACCCGTGACAATGAATGCACACCAAAGGACACAAACGGTAGAAATCTGGTAGCCTGCTGAATAAATACTGAGTAGAATCACCCCTGAACCTTCAGAGGCTTTCCTCTCTGTTCCCTTAAGTTGCTTTCTGAAGAATATACTTTTCTGAGAGGAAAGGGGAAAAATGACTCATCCCCCTCAAGGGGAAATAGCCAGTTATTAGGCAACAATTTTTTTTTTTAAATTTTCTGACTATTGTGATGTCACTTATACTCAGATCATCATGGCTTTAAAATGACTTGGCAGAAACTTAACAAGAATATTTTTATTAAAAAATAAGAATTGTGAATTTCTTAATTTGGGGACCACCAATTTGGGAAGGTGTTTAGCCATTTCTATACTATTGAGTAATGGTGACCATAGCTAATGGCTTAAATACATAGGTCCACTAACTGGTTACCTTTGGTACAGTGAAGGTGGTAAAATGTGGACTTAGTGAGTAAATATGTCATTTTAATAATATTCTCTCATGTTAAATTCCTTTACTTTGCTTTACTATTTCAGAAAAGTATTTTTTCCTTAGATACTTTTTTTTTTGTCTATAGAGAAATTTGCTATGAAGAATAAACTTGATTACAGTGATGTGTGCTAGATTTTGGCCTCAGTTTCCACGTAGTTTCTACAAGAGCGCCTACCATCTGGAAGAAAGAAGAGGGAAGGAAAGGGAGGAAGGAAGGAGCGAGGGACAAGAGCAAACATTTGTGGTGTGCTCTGCATGTTTCAGAAGTGCTGTGTCCATGATGTATTGGACATCTAATGGGCGTCTCTTATCTTCGGGTTATTTGAAGTCATGGTGCACCTAGCTGAAGTAACTACATTCCCTAGCTTCTCAGCTTGGGCTCAGTCATCTGATAGGGCTTCTGTTAAAACCCTTAAATAAGATATGCCGGGAAGCTGGGCAGCTATCTTGGATTGTGGGCTAATAAGCCTCAGTAATTGCATTTCTAGTGCATTCAGCTCAACACAACTCCCAGTAAGTAAAATAACACTAATCACAATGAATTGAGCTTTACTGAGTGTGTGTGACCTTCCAGGCCCTATGCCAGACACTTAAGTCATTATTTCATTTAGTCCTTACTCAAAGATATTGTTACTAATAGTTACAGCAAGATCTCTGTTTTACAAATGAGAAAACTGAGGTTTAATCATTGTAAGTAACTTGTGTTTGAATGATTACATGTGAACATGAGTGTGTTCTGTAGCAAAGTCTCTACTTTAAAGCAAGATATATGCTTCCCTTTTATAATTAATTATGTGAGTTGTTAAAAATGAAAAAAGTTATAAGCTAAACAGTTGTCCTCTAGGAAGTGTTTATGGCTATTCTTAAGTTCAGAAGAAATATGATAATATAGTAAAAAAGCAGACTACTTAAAATCATTTGTGGAAACTTTTTTTTTGGTGGTACTAAGGTTTGAACTCAGGGCTTTGTACTTGCTAGGCAGGTGCTCTATCACCTGCCATTCTTCCACCCCTTTTTGTGTTGTTTATTTTTGAAATAGGATCTCCCCTTTATGCCTGGCCATCCTGTAGTATGATGTTCCTATTTGTGCTTCCCAGTGTAGCTGGACTGACAGGTATAACCACCGTGCCCAGCCATTGGTTGAGATGGGTCTCTTGCACTTTTTGCCTGAGCTGGCTTTGAACCAAGATCCTACTGTTTTCTGCTTACCGAGTAGCTAGGATTATAGGTGTGCGCCACCATGCCTGACCATTTGTCCCAAACCTTAAAGCTGGTCAGTATCTATAGTGAATAATTGCCTCCAGGGTTCTTACCACTACTTAATAAGCTGTGGGTAAATTGCCTATCAGTGGGAATTAACCAAACTGATCCTTTTCATTATCTACTATGACCTCTCTGTTACTGACAACCCTTAAAAATCTGCCTTTTAGGCTCCATGTCAGAATTTGTTCATTTAATCTCCACGACATTGGCAAACCCTTACTCCAAGTGGGAGTTTGCTCAGTGCAGAGGAAATGCATGCTTTTGAGTTTCCTAATCTCAGAACCTTAGTTCTACAAAGTAGTAATCACCATGATATTAAACCAATTGGACTATTGTGAAAATTGTGGGAATTAATGGGTAATTTACATGTAGTAGATAATTTTAATTCCAGGTGACTGACACATAGTCGGTGCTCAAAAGTGAGCTATCATTGTTGAAGACTGTATTCCAAAGAGCCAATAACCTCAAATATCTTGGGGCAAATTTTCAACAAATAAGAAGAGGACTGGTAGGGACTGAGGTAAAATAGAGGGTTCGTCTCTATGGTAACAAAGCAGCCCATCTCAGATGCAGGCTGGGGACCTGGCTTTGTCAGTTTTTCCATGGTTCTAAAGCAAAATTGGAAATTGGATTTTCTGTGAAATTTGATTGAATCTTTTTTCAATGTTGTACGGAACCCCTCCCCCCCAAAATATCCCAAAATATCCATCTGCTGGCCACCATCTTGCCATCACTGACCATTCATGTTTTCATTTGTTCACTCAACAAACTGGGGAGATTAAAAGTAATTCAAAAGTGAGTCACAGAGCAGCTATCCAATAAGGCTGCCAAATAAGAGAGGAGAAACTGGGTTATGAAAATGGGAGAGCAGAGGGCTGTAAGTTGACTTGTTAATACTTTGCAAATCCATGACACTGATGTTGACTCTTTACCTTTGTCTTCTGGAGACAAAGAGAAGATGGGTTTACTTTTAAGGAGCAGCATTTTAAGTGGGAAAAAATCTGTGCATCCTGAGAGTTACTGATTTTTTAGACTGAACAGGGAAAAGGCTATGAACCTTTGTTTTATAAAGGGGTTGTATTAGCTTTTCGTCGCTGTTAAATACCTGAACAGTTTAAAGGAGAAAAATTTGTTTTGACTCATGGTTTCAGACTGTAGTCAGCTTGTTCCATTGCTGTGGGACTGTAGTGAGGTAGAACATCATGGTAGCAAAAGGGTGTGGTAGGACAAAGATGCCCACCTCCTAGTGGCTAGGAAACACAGAGAGAGCCAGAAGAAGGCTCCATCTCCTAGTTTCCACCACTTCCTAATAATGGCAGCAATTTATTTATTCATCAGGGGAGGA